GACCAGCTTAAGTCTGTGTTAGAGTATTGGATCACTTTGTGAACGTGGGCCCAGTTTCTCAGGAGATGTGGCAATAATCTGATGACATCTGTACAGAAGTTTCATAATGTGTATTTAATTAAAAACATAAAAACTTGAATTTAGTTGTTGATCTGTCCACTGGTTGCAGAAGCAGGAACAGAATGTTTGTTGTTCAGGAACAGAATGTTTGTTGTGCAGGAACAGAATGTTTTTTGTGCAGGAACAGAATGTTTTTTGTGCAGGAGCAGAATGATTGTTGTGCAAGAACAGAATGTTTGTTGTGCAGGAACAGAATGTTTGTTGTGCAGGAACAGAATGTTTTTTGTGCAGGAACAGAATGTTTTTTGTGCAGGAGCAGAATGTTTTTTGTGCAGGAGCAGAATGATTGTTGTGCAGAAACAGAATGTTTGTTGTGCAGGAACAGAATGTTTGTTGTGCAGGAACAGAATGTTTGTTGTTCAGGAACAGAATGTTTGTTGTGCAGGAACAGAATGTTTGTTGTGTAGGAACAGAATGTTTGTTGTTCAGGAACAGAATGTTGGTTGTGCAGGAACAGAATGTTTGTTGTGCAGGAACAGAATGTTTGTTGTGCAGGAACAGAATGTTTGTTGTGCAGGAACAGAATGTTTGTTGTGCAGGAACAGAATGTTTGTTGTGTAGGAACAGAATGTTGGTTGTGCAGGAACAGAATGTTTGTTGTGCAGGAACAGAATGTTTGTTGTGCAGGAACAGAATGTTGGTTGTGCAGGAACAGAATGTTTGTTGTGCAGGAACAGAATGTTTGTTGTTCAGGAACAGAATGTTTGTTGTGCAGGAACAGAATGTTTGTTGTTCAGGAACAGAATGATTGTTGTTGCAGGAACAGAATGTTTGTTGTTCAGGAACAGAATGTTGGTTGTGCAGGAACAGAATGTTTGTTGTTCAGGAACAGAATGTTTGTTGTTCAGGAACAGAATGTTTGTTGTTCAGGAACAGAATGTTTGTTGTTCAGGAACAGAATGTTTGTTGTGCAGGAACAGAATGTTGGTTGTGCAGGAACAGAATGTTTGTTGTGCAGGAACAGAATGTTTGTTGTGCAGGAACAGAATGTTTGTTGTGCAGGAACAGAATGTTTGTTGTGCAGGAACAGAATGTTTGTTGTGCAGGAACAGAATGTTTGTTGTTCAGGAACAGAATGTTTGTTGGTTGCAGGAACAGAATGTTTGTTGTTCAGGAACAGAATGTTTGTTGTGCAGGAACAGAATGTTTGTTGTGCAGGAACAGAATGTTTGTTGTTCAGGAACAGAATGTTTGTTGTGCAGGAACAGAATGTTGTTTTGTGCAGGAACAGAATGTTTGTTGTGCAGGAACAGAATGTTTGTTGTGTAGAGTTGTGTACCTTAGTTGTGTGGGGATCCACAGATTGTTGGTTTCTATCCCCGGTTCTCACTGATATGTGTCATTGAATACCCATTATGGGGCGGTGGGGTAGCCTAGTGGTGAAGCGATCACTCTTGTCACTCAGAAGACCCGGGTTCGATTCCCCACATGGGTACAATGTGTGAAGCCCATTTCTGGTGTCCCCCGCCAGGATATAGCTGGAATATTGCTAAAAGTGGAGTGCAACTAAACTCACCATATACCCATTGTGTGTCACATCTCTGATGTGAATGTAACATCTGCTTGGTGTTCGACTCCCTGGTCATATGTGTAGGGTTGTTTGGTTTGTTTGTTGTTTAACGCTCCACTCATCAATATTCCAGCTATATGGCGGTGGTTTGTAAATAATCGAGTCTAGACCAGACAATCCAGTGATCAACAGCATGAGCATCGCTCTGCGCAATTGGGAATCGATAACATGTGTCAACCAAGTCAGCGAGCCTGACCACCCGATCCCGTTAGTCGCCTCTTACGACAAGAATGGGTTGCTGAAGATCATTCTACCCCGGATCTGCACGGGTCTACCCATGTGTAACTGCCTCAGGTTAGAATAATAAAACACTGGCACAGACGACCCTAACCCACGGATGTTCGTACCCAGCGAAAATGGCTGACTCATGCCTAATATTATCGTGAGATTCTTACCTGTTTTGGAGCTTTTGTACCTTTTTGGTACCCAAATTTGGATGATTCGTACCCGATTTGGATGATTCGTAATCGATTTATCCATTTACCCATTTACTTCATGGTCGAAATGTAGCCTAGTGGTTAAAGCGTTCGCTCGTCATGCCGAAGACCCGGGTTCCATTCCCCACATGGGTACAATGTGTGAAGCCCATTTCTGGCGTCCACCCCCGTGATATTGCTGGAATATTGCTGAAATATTTATAATGTATCATGAAGAATGTTGGAAACGTAATAGTGTAAGAATAAATTGCTATCGAAGTACAGGAATAGGTGATGCTGATGGGGTCGTTGTCGGCACAGGCACTACAGATACGTTGCTGTGTACAGAAATACATTTTTAAATATTCGTACATATAAATAATATACATTTCAAATATTCAAACATTATTTAATATATCAAACATTCATACATTATACATTTCAAACATCCATACACTATACATTTCAAATATGTATTCATTATACGTTTCAAGTATTTATTCATTACAGATTTCAAACATCATACATCTAAAATATTTACTTATCAAATATTTCAGATATACATTCATTATACATTTCAAACATTCATATATTATAATATTCAAAGTGCATTCCATACATATTCATTCATTCGCTGCTGTCTCTATTGGTCAGTTCGGGATGTTCCGAGGGTGCTGATCGCGTTTTCAGGTCCGAGTCACCCAGTTGTACAGATACGGGAGGGCACGGTTAAAATTAGTCCAACATTTGGGTACGAGTCCGCCAAACAGTGTTGGGTTGTACTGTTCCCGTCCAGACTTGTGCAAGCAGCAATATTGAAAAACTATATGGATAACAACTTCTTTTGTTTCGGGAGTGATTCGATACGGATTCTTGTACCGTTGTCAGGCAGGAATGTAGCATGAGTGAGTGAGTTTAATTTTACGCCTCAATCAGCAATATTCCAGCTATATGGCGGAGGTCTGTAAATAATCGAGCCTCGACCAGACAATCCAGTGATCAACAGCATGAACATCGATCTACGCAAATGGGATACGATGACATGTGTCATCCAAGTCAGTGAGCCTGACCACCCGATCCCGTTAGTCGCCTCTTACGACAAGCATGGGTTACTGAAGATCAATTCTAACCCGGACCTTCATGGGTCGAATGTAGCATGAAGTGGAGGGGATGTATATATACTGAATGTAACAAAGAAACATAATTAACAAAATTGGCTAGTCAGTAAATTAATAAGCCAGCGAGTTGACAAATGGAAAGGCGTGGAAGCCAGTTATGTACAAATCAAACGGGGAGTTTAAGAAGGAGGGGATACAGTTGATTGGGCTTGGTGAGGTGAGGTGAAATTGGGTTTTACGTAGTGCTTAAAATTATTTCGCTCATATGACGACGTGCATGCATGTGTATGTGTATGTGCGGCTGCTTGTACTAGCCCAGACTTAAGCTGGTTTTATAGTGCTAGCCCACTGAGATACCATGCCGCAGTGAAGCATGAATACCCCACTCAGACACATTATACTGACTCCGAGCCGACCAGTCCTTGTTGTACCCATTAATGCCGAGCGCCAGGCAGGGACCAACAAGTACCTTATTTTAACGTCTTTTTGGTATGACGCAGTCGGGGATCGAACCCGCGACCTTCCGCTCTCCGGGCGTACGCTCTAACCACTACATCACGGAGGCGGTGATTGGGCTTGGTGGAGGAGTGCATCATGAGAGGATGGAATGAAATAGCCTTGATCTCTGTAGATGGTTATCCATATAATCTGTCAATATTGTACCTCCCAACTTTTAAAATGCCACTCAAAGAAGTAAGTACAAGCAGCAACACATACCCACGTGTCGCTATGTAAGTGCGGGGCGGTGGTTCAGTGGTTAAAGTGTTCGCTCGATTCGCCCCATAAGTACAACGTGTTAAGTCCATTTCTGGTGTCCTCCACCGTGATATTGCTGAAATATTGCTAAAAACGGCGTAAAACCACACTCATTCACTATATAAGTGTAATAATAATTATTATTGCGGCATAAAATCCCATCTCAGTTCACCAAATGACTTATTTTTATAATGAGTGAGTGAGTGAATTTAGTTTTACGCCGCATTCAGCAATATACCAGCTGTATGGCGGCGTATTTTTATATTGATTTGACAGAACTGATTAGTATTTACGCTTCTAAAAATAAATTTTATAAAAAGCGGGCTAAAACAGGTTCAAGTGGTTACACTTGGTGACTGGGCTGATTGTAGCCCGGCCTTGCCTTAAAGAGGAACAGTGCAGCCGAACCTTGGCATCTCGCGATTAGTTTCCTGCCGACGTGATCCGCTTGCTTACTGCTGACTCTGGCATAAAACAATATTCACTCGTTTGGTCGTGTATCGGTGAACTGATGCGGTGAATTTTATGAATACCAGTAATTGGACAATTTTGAATTAGTTAACTTTTCTATTTATTGTTACATTTAAAATGGACACATTTGTTTTGGAGAGACTGGATGGTGATTGCACTTGAAATTACATGAACGGGCATTCTTTTCGGAGAGTGAATGAATGAGCTTAGTTTAAAAGTCATGTGAACATACACCATTGTATTTTAGTAAAAGGGCACCGAAGTATCTCTTTCAAAGGATCACTGTAGGACTTTAAAGAGAGACTTCGATGTCCGTTAGCAAAAACACAATGGTGTATACTCACGTGAGCAGCCCATGTTTAACAATAAGAAATACATGGCAATGACCGTTTGACCTAGAACGATCTACATTTACGTGTATATACAGAATGTAACCCCTCAACCCATCAACCTTGTGATGTCGATCCGATGTGGACGGTTTTACAAACACGCAGCGTTATCTGTCGAAAGTGTAGATATGAGATTCAAAATCCCTCGCGCGGAGAGCGTGCAAGTCACACGTGATCATGTGACGGCAGCAAGTCACGTGATCCAGATACAGGGTAGCCGTATATAAGGCGACCCAGTGAACTGATCGTCCCCCTTGTTTGAAGCCACAGACAGAATCAAGGTAAGACTTCTGTCAGATCTATGGGAAGTAATTTTGTATTTGTGCGTTTTTGGGAGGTAAAAATGAGAATTAGATGTTTGTTATGATTTAACTGTATGTGACGACCTGATCCAAGATTCAAAGTCAGATCTGCTACAGATGAAACATACTACCCAAATCAAGTTAAGGAACACCGACAATTGGAAGGGGTCCATGTAACACCCACCTTTCACAGCGGGTTAGAATTGATCTTCACTAACCCATGCTTGTCGTAAGAGGCGACTAACGGGATCGGGTGGTCAGGCTCGCTGACTTTGACACATGTCATCGTGTCCCAATCATTGGATTGTCTTGTCCAGACTGTTGTCATATAGTTGGAATATTGATGAGTGTGGCGTTGACCACCAAACCAACCAACCGACTTAACCCCAGCCCCAGCTACTTCACCACGACACCATTGCCTTTGTACAGAGTTACTTCCTGAGGGTAGCCTAGAGGTTATTTAGTGTTCGCAAGTCACGCCGAAGACACGGGTTCGATTCCCCACATGGGTACAATGTGTGTAGCCCTTTTCTGGTCACTGTGCGAAATAGCCACTGGCCCGCTAGCCCGTGACTAGTTAAAATCCAGTCGGGACAGTAAATCTCCACAGTCACTAGCCCGACTGGCAAGTGAATTTTCATGGGGTCATTTTGTACAGATATCACTTTCTCTGACTTGTTAAGTTATAATACACTTTCAAATCATGCAAGATTACTGCTCGATAAAAATGTAGCAGCTTAATGATTTCATATAAGTTATTTGAGCATATCACACATGTGTTTTCTTATTTGTTTTGATGGTATTTTACCTTTTTGTAATCTTTTGCTTAGTTTCTACATTTAAATTTCGGGCTAGGGAATTATTTTGTGGACTAGTAACTTTCAGGCAAAGCTAGTCCGACTGGGTTGCAAAATTTGCAAACTATTTCGCACACTGTTTCAGGTGTCCCCCACCGTGATATTGCTGGAATATTACTAAAAGCGTCTTGAACACACACTCACTCAGAGTTACTTCCCTTATTTGCTGGTCATGAGTTGAAAACAAGCATTATCGCATTGTTATTATGAGTTTCGCTAAGTCGTATACGACCTCCCTACTTTCACTTTCCTTGAACACAGAAACCGAAACCTCGTGATATAACTAAATTAACAATTGTCTAAAGAAGATTAAACATGGGTCATTCTTTCACGTGTCACGCATCAAATCTGAGTGAGTAAGTGAGTGAGTAAGAGAGTACGGCTTTACGCCGCTTTTAGCAATATTCCAACAATATCACGGCGGGGGACACCAGAAATGGGCTTCACACATTGTACTCATTTGGGGATTCGAACCCGAGTCTTCGGCGTGACGAGCTAACGCTTTAACCACTAGGATACCCCACCGCCCCTGAGAATACCGCCTCTCAAAACATAAAAGATGTTTACATCGGAAAACGGATCGTCTGTGAAAGAATGTCGGAAGTGAGTGATATGTGTTTAACGCTGGTTTAAACAGTACTCCTGTTATATTGGACTTTGCAGTAGGACGATCCGCAGTGATGCAGTTTTCAGACGCTGATAAACCATGTAACGGGATTCAAACCTACGACCGCAGGTTTTTGGCGTTTCCAAGGGACGCAACTCTGCAGGCGCCTTCTCTCTCGGAAATTAGGGTTAAACACTTCGCAATCGTAATGATAGTTTAGCCGATCGGGTAGCTGAGTGGTTAAACGCTCGCTCGTCACGTCGAAGGCCCGGGTTGATTCCCCACATGGATACAATGTTTGAAAGCCATTTCTGAAGTCCCCTGCCGTGATATTGCTAAAATATTGCTAGAATATTGCTGAAAGCGGCGTAAAACCATAATCACTCATTCATCCAGTATGTATTCAGATGATTCCATGTAAACGCGGCGTAAAACACTACTCATTCACTGACCGCGGTACAATCAATACGTCGTTCTTTAGGTTTAATACTTCGATTTGCGTATCATACGCCAATGTGCTGTTTGCCCCTGCCTGTTTTTTCCTACAATAATATTTAAATTATATGGTATAGTTCTTGTCCACGCGCTGTGACGTCATAACGTCACGAACAATTCATGCACAGCCACGTTTGTTGTGATGACACAGCGTTAATTTGATGCCCAACTTACGGACTGTTTGAAAGCGGATCGTGATTAGATACCGCTATGTATGTCAAAGTCCACGTGCAAGAATTTGGCTTTGTGTTGGCTGTGAAATGCAGCTGTGCATGTGATAATAATGTTGTAATGACACACTTCAGATGCGAGACGTAAGACGTAAGTGAGTATGGTTTTACGCCGCTTTTAGCAATATTCCAGCAATATTCCAGCAATATTCAGCAATATTCCAGCAATATTCCAGCAATATTCCAGCAATATTCCAGCAATATTCCAGCAATATTCCAGCAATATTCAGCAATATTCCAGCAATATTCAGCAATATTCCAGCAATATTCCAGCAATATTCCAGCAATATTCCAGCAATATTCCAGCAATATTCAGCAATATTCCAGCAATATTCCAGCAATATTCAGCAATATTCCAGCAATATTCAGCAATATTCCAATATTCAGCAATATTCCAGCAATATTCCAGCAATATTCAGCAATATTCCAGCAATATTCCAGCAATATTCCAGCAATATTCAGCAATATTCCAGCAATATTCAGCAATATTCCAGCAATAACGCTTTAACCTCTAAGCTACCCCACCGCCCCTCAAGACGTTAAGAACCTCAACTGTTGGGTTTATCTCAACGAATACCCGCTGGCTCAAAACTGATTTAGGAGTACTTTTACCACTGAATACTTTTAGGGCTTTAAATATGGAGTAAGGTGTTAAGGATGAACCTTGGTCAGTGGTTTGCTTTATACTGACTGACTGAGTTTAGTTTTACGCCGCTTTTAGCAATATTCCAGCAATATCACGGCGGAGGACACCAGAAATGGGCTTAACACATTGTGCCCATGTGGGGAATCGAACCCGGGTCTTCGGCGTGACGAGCCAACGCTTTAACCACTAGGCTACCCCACCGCCCGGTTTGCTTTATAACTATATCTAGTTTGTTTGTGCGTTGGTTCGGTGTTTAACACCACTGTCAGAAATATTCCTTCTATATGGCAGCGGCTTAACAAACGGGGGTGAGTGAGTGAGTATGGTTAATATCACGGCGGGGGACACCAGAAATGAGCTTCAAACATTGTACCCATGTCGGGAATCGAACCCGGGTCTTCGGCGTGACGAGCGAACGCTTTAACCACTAACCACTTAACCACCCTACCGACCCTAACAAAGGGGAGATGCTATGAGTAATGGTGTCGGTACACCATAGGTACAATGTGATGCCATTTTTGGCGTCCCTCGTCATGACATTGCTGGAACATTGCTATGAGAGGCGTAAAACTAAACTCTTTCATTTTCGTTTCGAGCTCTGCGGCATATTAACACTTGTGTTCGCGATTCGTATCTACAGTCTGTAGCTGAAGATAACGGTGATTGTCAGACAACTGTCACACTGTACCACGACCCAGAACAGATATATCTGTCGACTGCGTGGGCGTGTTTAAGACAGATCTTTGCATGCATGTTGGGACTCGATTATTTACAGGCCGTCGCCATATAGCTGGAATATTGCTGAGTGCGGCGTTAAACAACAACATCATCATCATATATACATTTGTATAGCGCCGATATCCAGCTCCGCTCAGCTGCTCAAAGGCGCTTTGTTTTTCCCTCGTTCACTGGATGTCAATCTCAACGGCACATCGTATTGTCAATCTCAACTCCCTGGGGGCATACAAACTCTTGCAGCCACTAGGCGCACCGAGTTATTGTGGCATTCCCATCCTTACGAGTACCCATTCACAGCTGGGTGCACTGGGACACATAGTCACAGTACTTTGTCCAAGTTCACTGCACGTTGCTGTACCCGCAACTGGGTGTTTGCACGTATTCATATGGCCACCATCTGGTCATATCCCTACGGATTCGTGGGTTCTTTTAAGTGCACAGGGTTGTGTACTGTACACTAGGGGTTGTGACAACACTGAAAGAGTCTGCACACAAAGTTGACTCCAAGGTTTTACACCCGGTCACAGGTGGGCTCGATCCCGTCACCTCAAGCTCGCTGGATCACTAGCCTGGCGCTTTAGCCAGCTCGCCCACCGCGCCCCCAAACAAACAAACAAATCATCAACGAAATGGGCAACAAACTGGATCTGGTCAGACCCGCTGAATTGGTTGATGCATGCCATCGTATCTCAATTATATTGTCCATAGTTGTATGCATATAACCAAACCCATTGACCGATGTATCGTTATTTTAAATGATAACTAAAATTCGTTTTTTCTCACTAAACTTACCGGCCTGGGTAACTTTATGCTGAATTAAATTATAAATTGTAAACCAATAGTGAGTGTTTTCCGCAATCTGATTGGTTAATTACCCTTGTCGAATAGTGTTCGACATACTTGAAAATGACGGCCTAATAACCGCACATTAATATGTTGGCACTAATACCGTACTACTTTCGCTGCATGAATTTGCATAATGGAGGAAGATTACCACCTCAATTTCTTAAATTTCGTCGGTTTTAAACTAAATTTGCCTATGTTGAATTCCAATGAATCCCGGAAATTGAACAAAGGAAACTAGTTATCTTTAACATATGAACCCACGCTAAAGGATCAGCAATAACTGACGACGAGAGAATGGAGTGGTTTGTGAGTGAGTGAGTGAGTTTAGTTTTACGCCGCTTTTATCAATATGCCAGCAATATCATGGCGGGCTACACCAGAAATGGGCTTCACACATGCACCCATGTGGGGAATCGAACCCGGGTTTTCGGTGTGACGAGCGAACGAGTTAACCACTAGGCTACCCCAAGCCCCTGAGTGTTCTGTGAAAGGGGTTCATGAACCACTGACCTCTGGGAAGAACACGTAGTCGTGGTACACGCAGTGACAGACCACGTTTTAGGGGTCAGGTCTGAGATGAAACGGAACCAGGGCATCTTAAACACACACACATGAAACATGTACTGTCCAGATAACCCAGGATTGTTTCGTCGTGGGGATCGAGGTATTTCGTGGTGCGGACTTGACCAACAGAAAATGTTGAAAATTGGGTTGATGAAGATAACAGCTCTCCATTTATCATCTCAGTTTTTATGCTTATCTTCAGAGTACATTGACACTTGGCATTCCTTTTCGGAAGGTCTTTTTATCCATGTCACTCTGTCTAACTGCGTATGGGCCGGTGTGTACTGGTGTCCCCTGCCGTGATGTTGCTGGAGGGGCGGTTGGGTAGTCTAGTGGTTAAAGCGTTGGCTCGTCACGCCGAAGACCCGGGTTCGAATCCCCACATGGGTACAATGTGTGAAGCCCATTTCTGGTGTCCCCCGCCGTGATATTGCTGGAATATTGCTAAAAGCGGCGTAAAACCAAACTCAGTCAGTCAGTGTTGCTGGAATATTGCTAAAAGCGGCGTAAAACTCACTCACTAGCTCTATGACTGTGAATCATCGTGTTTGAAGTGCTACAGATTGTAAGCTAAAACGTCTATTGTGGCCGAACAAGACAAACGTTTAGTCTCTGAATATATATATTTTGATAGAAACCAACATTTGCTTTTAAACGGATAAGGAGCCCCAGTGAGACGGGAGATTCAGAACCTGAGGAAATCTAGACTTGCTTCTTTTAGGGTTTTAGCATTGCAGGGAGGCTGGGCAGAAAGGAAAGTAGCGCGGTTCAGGGTCTTCCAGACAGACAACGGCCGAACCCGCTTTCTCAGTCCGTATATCACCATGCCTCATTCTCTTTGAGTATATCTGTTCCTGTATCTATACCCCTTCCCTCTCTATGCATTCATGTATGCATGCATGCATGCATGTATGCATGCATGCATGTATGTATGTATATGAGTGAGTTTAGTTTTACGCCGCACTCAGCAATATTCCAGCATTATGGCGGCGGTCTGTAAATAATCGAGTCTGGACCAGACAATCCAGTGATCAACAGCATGAGCATCGATCTGCGCAATTGGGAACCGATGACATGTGTCAACCAAGACAGTGTGTGTGTGTGCGCGTGCGTGTACGTGCGTGTGCGTGTGTGAGTATTCTCTCTGTCATGTTCCTTCCCTTTTTCCCGCCGGAATATAGCTGGAATATTGCTGAGTGCGGCGTAAACCTAAACTCACTCACTCACTCCTTCCCTTTTCTGTTCTACATATCCTGTACCGTATATCCCTTCCAATCACTGTTTCCCTATTGCTACATTGTGTTAATGTGTGTATTTTCGTTACACACACACACACACACCCACACACACACCGTCCCCATCCTTCTCCCAACTCGCTGTGTCTACACACCGCAGTGTTCGAAGTTCATTATTTGACGCTATCACACACGGAGAACACATGTCGACCAATATCCAAAGTTTCACATTGTGACTTTTCCCACCCATTGTCACGTGAACCTGTTATCACTCATATCACAATACACTTTATTATCAATCATATCTCAGCATGATCTCCACGGGGAAATATTTTTATCAATAATCTCAGTTGTCAGCTGATGAGCACACTAAACATTGAAAATGAAAACCATGACTTTAAATACGTTTACTTGAAATGCGATCCTTCCTCCAGACCGGTTAGCAATATCAGCGATGTTAAGCAGTTTAGGCTACGTGTCTTTAGAGGTTTGTAGTTTCGTTTCTTTAAATCCACAATATATCCACAACGTGGACTGTATATGTCCGTCACCCCATCCCGTCATCTTTCTCCTCTGTAATTCGTTTTGCTCTTTCCTTCGTTCTCTCCCTACCTTTCTTTCTTTCTTCCCCTCTCCTTCGTTCTCGCTCTTTTTCTCTCCGTCTCTCCCTCTCTGTTTCTCTGTCACGTTCTTTCTCTCTCCCTTTCCTTCTCCCTCTCTATTCTTCGTTTTCGCTCTCACTCTCTTTCTTTCTTTCTCTGTCTCTTTCTTTCTTTCTGTCTGTCTGTCTCTGTCTCTCTCTGTGTCTCTCTCCTCTCTCAGAGCAATATATGACGCTTCTGTTCTGACGGTAGCTGATGTTGTTGTTGTTGTAGATGATGTTCCGTGTGACAGTTGTCGTCGCCTTGCTTGCCCTTGCCTCCTGTAACCTGGACCGGGAGTGGGAGATGTTCAAGGCCAGACACAACAAGCAGTACAAGGACAGCCGGGAGGAGGCCTACAGGTGAGCCGGGAACTGAAGCTACCCACCCTGAAGCCACGCCCTGCCGCCAATCCTGAAGCCACGCCCTGTCACTCACCCTGAAGCCTCGCCCTGTCATCCACCCTGAAGCCCCGCCCTGCCACTCACCCTGAAGCCCCGCCCTGACACCCACTCTGAAGCCACGCCCTGCCACTCACCCTGAGCCTCGCCCTGTCATCCACCCTGAAGCCAGGCCCTGCCACTCACCCTGAAGCCCCGCCCTGACACCCACTCTGAAGCCCCGCCCTGCCTCTCACCCTGAAGCCACGCCCTGCCACTCACCCTGAAGCCACGCCCTGAGAACCTTTTGAAGCCCCGCCCTGACACCCACCCTGAAGCCACGCCCAGCTACCCATCTTGAAGCCCCGCCCTGCATCAATCACTATCTCTGACGTCACCCAACCAATGAGCATGACGCTACCCCAGTAACGTCACCTCTAACCATTTACATTGACGTCATTTCCAAACACTCACCATGACGTCACTCCAACCACTCACCATGACTCACCCCAACCACACCATGACGTCATCTCCAACCACTCGCCATGACGTCATCACCTCCAACCACTCACAATGACGTCATCTCCACCACTTCCATGAACCTCCAACCACTCACCATGACGTCACCTCCAACCACTCACCATGACGTCAATTTCCAACCAACGTCACTCCACCATGACGTCACCTCCAACCACTCACTCACCTCCAACCACTCACCATGACGTCATCCCCAACCACTCACCATGACGCCATCCCCAACCACTCACCATGAAGGGAAATACATGCCCTCACCCTGACGTCAGCATACAACCACCCAACTTTACGTCAGATCCAACCATCCAACTACTCGCTCTGACGCTATTGACATATTCCCAAAATGCACGAATATGTTAATTGTTTAAATTTCAGATTAAAAATTTTCAACATTATTTGATTAACAAAGAATTTGAATAACAAAAGATGAAATACACACCAGCCAAGTTTCTTTTACCCATGAGTATAGTTGCCGTTACTGCATCGTACTATGTACCCCACAGGAAGGGCGTGTTCATGAAGGCAGTGGACTTCATCCAGCAGCACAACTTGGAGGCCGACCGCGGCGTCCACACTTTCAGAGTCGGCATCAACGAGTACGCCGACATGGTGAGTTGAGTGCGCGACGCTACGACACTATCTAGCCACCAAACATACACGTATATGAAACCCGTGAAGATCCGGGCTGGATATCAGCAACCTTCAGTAACCCATGCTTGTCGTAAGAGGCGACTAACGGGATCGGGTGGTCAGGCTCACTGACTTGGTTCACACATGTCATCGTATCCCAATTGCGTAGATCAATGCTCATGCTGTTGATCACTGGATTGTCTGGTCCAGACTCGATTATTTACAGACCGCCGCCATATAGCTGGAATATTGCTGAGTGCGGCGTAAAACTAAACTCACTCACTCATGATTTCGATGCAATGTTCTCATTACTAACCGACTGTGTTTCCCAGCCAAATGATGAGTTCGTCAGTGTGATGAACGGCTACAAGATGCAGGAACAGCGCCCCAAGGCCCCCACCTACATGCCCCCCTCCAACGTGGGCGACCTCCCCGACACCGTCGACTGGAGAACCAAGGGATACGTCACTGGAGTCAAGAACCAGGTATGTCTTCAGTGTGTTAGTGAGGGAGTTAGGTTCAAAGCCGCTTAGAACTCAAAACGAGATTTACTTCGGCGTATCAGCTTAATGTATTTTAGTGCCTGAAGGGTTGAGATATTTTGGTACGGAATTTGAACGCCGCGATGGTTAGGTGGGTTAGATCGCTGACCTTGAGTGCTGGCGATCGGAGTGAGTATTCCATCAATATCACGGCGGGGGACACCAGGTACGGGCTACACACACCGTACCTATGTGGGGAATCGAACCCAGTTTTTCGGCGTGACGATTGTACACTTTAACGACTAAGGTTACCCCACCGCCCCATTTAAGTTAGGGAACATTCATAATTCATGGCTTGGGGTGAGTGGTGGTGGGGTGGTGGGGTTGGGGTGTCTAGCTTGGGAGGGGGAAGGGGTTGATGACTTTAAGGGGAGGGGTTCACCCATTTTGTTCTAGGGGCAATTTTGTACACATGTACTAGGGGTGTCAGCAATTTTGTACATAAAAATATTAAAAATATATGCTTAAAGCTTATGGGAAGGGGGAGGGGGTGTCATTGATTTTGTACATGACATGCAATAATAATAATATCTCACACACACACACACACACACACACACACACACACACACACACACACACACACACACACACACACACATACACATACACTTGCCATAAATCATGAACGGTTCCTTAGAAAATATATAAATCATTTGAACAAGAAATTGATATGTTTCTGTTGTCAATGAAAATAAACTGCATTGATCTGTAAAAGATATTTCCTGCCTACCACTGAACAGGGTTACATCTCCCAGAAACATAACTATGATGACGATCTATTCAATCTTCGCTGAGGGGATATATTAACAAAATACAGATTCTATTTGCAATCTGTTACGTAAATGCTTATGCAAAATGATCTTAAATACAGAATCCAAATTTCCCAGTCTGGTAACTATGGTAACATATTAGAATAAGCTAGAAATTGTGATCCTTTAGTATCACAAGAATAGGACACGAATTGCTGTCTAAAAGCAATGACACTGATCCGTAAACAGTCTATGTTAGATGTTATATGGATATTTAATAGTTCACGCCGTTCCCCCTTCACAATGTATACAAATCCATGTTCAGGAACAGTGCGGCTCCTGCTGGGCTTTCTCGTCCACTGGCTCCCTGGAAGGTCAACACTTCAAGAAGTACAACAAACTGGTCTCCCTGTCTGAACAGAACCTGGTCGACTGCTCCACCAAGCAGGGTAAGAAAACATATTCCTTGTCAGAGGTGTGTTTAAATATTAATATGATTTAGACACAGGTTAACAGATATAGGGTCTGATGTCACGTTCTTAAACATGTCGCTTTTATGTAGCGATGTGCATGCACGTGTGTATTACTGTTGGGAATTGGTTAAAATCTCATAATTGATGATTGGTTCATTACTACCGATCAATCATCGAAAATAATTGGTTAGCGTGAAATTTGTTAATGCACCTAAAAATAAGGCAAAAACAAGTTCTTTTGGGGGTTTGGCAAAATTTCACATCTTTAAAGGATGACTAGTTAGAACATACATTTCTTTTGATATCTTTAACAGAATAACACTTGGGGCGTTGGGAAATGTAGCCAAAACCAACCATGGTTTTAAGCGTTCGCTCGTCATGCCGATTATGAGAAATTGTGATCGATTGCTTGGTCGTTTAGTCACTACGACCAATCTTCGATTATTTCAATTAATCGGACCACCACTTGTGTATGTGCGTGTGTGCATGCGTTGTCTGGGCAATCTATTTGATCGTAAAACCAAGGAACCACTCATAGTTTATAGAATGTAGGGGCGGTGGGTAGCCCATGGTTGAAGCGTTCGCTTCATTGAAAACCCGGGTTCGATCCTAGAGGTACATTTAAAGTCTTGATATTGCTGGAATATTGCTAAAAGCAGCGTAAAACCACACTCACTCACTCACTTATAGGCAACGAGGACATTACTGACATGACTGTCCTAGAGTTAAAATGAATATTTGTACCTGGCGAGGAAACGAACAATTTGAACATTTGACCTGCCTTTGCATGACGTGTGACCCGGTGGGACAGGGTTCACTCACCTTTTTGCAACACTTGGTACCATAACATTTTCATAGGGGCGGTGGGGTTAAAGCGTTTGCTCGTCACGCCGATGGTGCGGGTTCGATTTCCCACATGGGTAAAATGTGTGAAGCCCTTTTTTGGTGTCTTCCGCCGTGTCTTTGCTGGAATATTGCTAAAATCGGCGTAAAGCCCAACCCACTCACTCACTCACATTTTCGAAGTGAATTATACACACGCTCGTGATATAATCGCATTGCTGGTCCCTGTTTCTATCTTATATTTTTAGTGATTATGGAAATCGCAATATCGTGTTTATCGCTTTATATCGCCTTTTTTCATTTCCATGAGCCACCATTTTTGTATTTTCTTTAACATTCCAGGCAACATGGGCTGGGCTGGAGGAGGTTTGATGGACCAGGCCTTCACTTACATAAAGGTCAACGACGGTATTGACACCGAGACCAGCTACCCATACGAGGCTGCGGTAAGTCAATAGGGGCCATCCTCGCGTATCAGGGGAATTATGTGCGCCTTAAACACCCTGGACCCTTTAGTCACCATGTAGTTGTTTGGTGGTGGATTTGTAAAGACGCCCAAACATTATTGACATAAGCAAGAGCAAACCGGTGACAAAGTTGATTAAGAATAGACTAAGATTGTGACTGCACTTATGGTTGTGAATTAGAGCCGGGTATATATCATAATGGAGAAATAATGCACAGAGGTGATTTGGGGGGCTTTCATTTTGTTGTTGTTTGTTGTTTAACGCCGCACTCAGCAATACTCCCGTCATATAGCGGCGCCTGTAGTAATAGGACAAGACAATCCAGTGATCAACATCATGAGCATCGATCTAAGAGGTTGCGATACGATGACATGTGTCAACCAAGTCAGCGAGACTTACCGACCGATCTCGTTAGTCGCCTCTTACGACAAGCATGGGTTGCTGATGACCAATTCTAACCCGGGTCTTCATGGATAGGTCGCCTGATGTCAAGATATAGCATTCGATCCCCCATATTTTACAATGTCCACTGAAATGCCTACTCATTCTCACTTCAGAACGGCAAATGCCGTTTCAACAAAGCCAACGTTGGAGCTAACGACACCGGCTACGTTGACATCAAGTCCAAGTCTGAGTCCGACCTCCAGAATGCTGTTGCCACTGTCGGCCCCATCGCCGTCGCCATCGACGCCAGCCACATGACCTTCCAGCTGTACAAGTCCGGCGTCTACCACTACATCTTCTGCAGCCAGACCAGACTCGACCACGGCGTGCTCGCCGCCGGTTACGGCACCGATAGCGGCAAGGACTACTGGCTTGTCAAGAACAGGTGCGTGTTTAACAGGTCAATAAATGGTGGGTGAGTTTAGTTTTACGCCGCACTCAGCAATATTCCAGCTATATTTCGGCGGTCTGTAAATAGTCAGGTCTGAAGCAGAAAATCCAGTCATCAACAGCATGAACATCGATCTACACAGTTGGGAACCGATGACATGTGTCAACCAAGCCAGCGAGCCTGACCCCGTCAGTCACCTCTTACGACAAGCACGGGTTACTGAAGATCAATTCTAACCCAGATCTTCAGGGGTGGTTAATGAAGGGGGCAAAAGACACTCTTCCTCAGCTGATTAAAAATATGTTTGATTTTCTTGTTTGAGTTTCAATTTTCATAAACTTGGCTTGTCAAAAACAGGTGCGTGTTTAACAGTTTAATAAACCGAGGTGCGAAAAACACTATTCCTCTGGTGATTCAATGATATGTTTTTTGATTTTCAAATGAAAATATCAAAATTTGTTATATACTAGCCACATAAAGAAACTGTGCTCACAGAAAATGCCTTCATAATTGGAATACAACACAGCAAAGACGAAATGATGTAGACACGTTATAAGCTGAAGTATCTGACCACAAGAAAATATCAAAAGAACACGAACAATATCCGTAACGATGACGTCAGAAGTTCAAAATCGAGTAGGGGACACACGACGAAGTCACAAAGTCAATAACGGGTATGACCACCGTGTGCGTGAAGAACAGCAGTGCATCGAAGACGCATAGAGGCTAGCAAATGAGCATTGAAGGCATGGGGAATGGTCTGGGACGTGGTCACTGCTGTCTGGAATCACCTGTATCTGAGATGAGTCACCCGAATCCATCTGTCCTGTCTTGGCGTCGTTACGTCGGGAACGCCCAGAACGTGGGTTGTCGGCGACGTCATTACTGTTTCGATAACGCCTGACCCATGCAGATATCGTGTTACGATGGCATTGGAAATGTTCTGCCACCTGTTGTTGGCTCATTCCTGCTCGAACCATTCCAATGGCTTCATGACGTTGAGCAGATGTTAATCTTGGCATGATGTGCATGTGACTTCTCATGTGAATTGGTGAACGTTTGAATGACCAAAGATCAAGCTTTCGACAGTGACAGCAATTTCAGAGTTTCACATGTTGTGTGCATCCGTACGGGCTGCACGTGCAGTAACACATTGCAAGGTCTTAGGCCACCGTCAATGACGTCACGTCGCCTGGCACGTGCATGAGCGTTTGATTGTCTCCAATACTTGCTATGTTCACAAATGTATTTATGTATACAGTTTCTTTATGTGGCCAGTATATATCCAAAACACAAATTGCACTGGCGCTTAGTCGGCACTGACAGATTATTCATACATGGTTTTATGTTTTAAAATATAATTTGACTTAAAACTTGTAAAAATGTAGCACTACGCAGCACGTGAACATGAAAATAAACGATGTTGTTGTTTTCATCTGCAGTTGGGGCGAGACCTGGGGACTGAAAGGCTACATCATGATGTCCAGGAACAGGGACAATAACTGCGGTATCGCCACCCAGGCCAGTTACCCCACTGTGTAAGGTGACGTCATAATCGTGACGTCATAGTGGGTGATTCTAGTCATGATCTCGTTTAATCAGTTTACTGAATAAAATAAGTTAAAAAGTGAAACTTTGTTTTTCATATGTATACTACAGTCTGGGTCAGAATGATACCGATGAATCACAGTCAAACTTCAAATCGGTTCATGATCGAACATTCGTTTCAACGCAGAGTGTAATGAAAACATCAATCAGACCAACTCTGGAAAATAGTTTCATAACGTTTGTCGACAAAATAAAAAGTTACTTAACAAAGTATCATCATTTTGTTTTGAATTTCCGATTGAAGTTTTACGAGGGCAAAGTAACAGTAAACTGTTGTGGGAACAGCCTCAGGGCGGGAAGCATGTGCAATTGTGACGTCACATCAAGCATAGCCAATCGATTTATTGACACGGTACATGAGACAATGAAATTCACCTCTGACATCAAGTCCATTGTTTTCAACGTTTATGATTTTTTTAAGGCGAAAGTGAAAGGGGTTGCCTTAAATATGCCCTGGGTAAATTGGCATGTGCAATTGGGTTGTGTGAAGACAATTGAAAAAAATATTGCGAGAACGTGCAACCGAGTCAGGCACAACCGAATCAACATGTCCACTTTTTTGAAAGTTGACAAACGTGACTGTTTTCACAACGAGTTAGTAAGAAATGCTATTAGAAGACTCTATAGCAAAATAAATTCCTTTCCAATTTGGAAAAACACATGGCGACAGACTATTCGTTGATATGTTGCAAGGGAAACGTTTGCATAAATTTGGGTTTCTTTCCCAACAAAGTGGGGATAGCAGGTGCTGTGTGAAAGAGCTGAATCGTGCGATTACGCAACACATACTCAGCATAGGGCTGCGCAATATAACCGGTTTACTGGTGTTTAGAGGTTCAGACCTGAAAACGATACGTATTGCGATACGCTGATCGAAAACCGGTATTTTGACTTGCATTCAGAAAACATCGTAACACTCGGAAATCTTCGGATATGTCCTTGTTTCATTGTGCCAAATATTATTCACATTTTTATTTCATCATGATTAAAAGTTGTTATTAAAGCTTAATCAAGCCTAGTGATTTTGTTGTGGTTTTGCTCTATGAATCAAGAATTAACTTGATTATAAGTAGTTTTTTGTTTAAAAATACTTCATGCAATATATTGCAATACATATCGCAATACATGCTTTCGCATCGCAATATATCGCTGCATAAAAAATACTCTGCAATACCCACCCCTACTTACGCACTATCAGACAAAACGTCAAGAAGGATTCGAACCACTACTGTTTTGGATGAAACATGGGTGAACGCTAGCCACACTTCAAGCACACGATGGGTAGATAGCTCCTCTACAGAACCACGTAACAGGAAACGTTCATTGGGCAAGGGTGAGCGACTGATTGTGTCACGTAGGTTGTAAAGTGTGGGGTTTCTGCCTGATTGTTCACTCGTGTTCAAGGCGAAATCCAAAGACAACAGAGATTTCCACACTGAAATGAAAGGGGAAGTTTTCTTAAATTGGGTGAAAAAACAGCTGGTACAGCACTTCCTCATACAAGTTTAATTGTTATGGACAACGCACCATATCATAGCGTGCCTGATCCAAATGCAAAAGCTCCAACATCCAACAGCAGGAAAAGTAATATGGCAGCATGGCTAGAAAACAAGATATTCCGTTTTCATGTATGACATCATAAAGCGCAACAAAACAGCACCAATCTATAAGGTACATCAATATCTCAAAGCTCATGGCCATGAAGTTTTACGTTTACTGCCTTACCATTGCGATCTCAATCCAATAGACTGACTGACTGACTAGAGTTTGGTTTAAGCCGCTTTTAGCAATATTCCGCTACATCACTGCGTTCGATTCCCCAAATGGGCTTCACAATGTGTGAAGCCCATGTCTGGATGTCCCCGGTCTTTGGCGTGACGATTGCCAACGCTTTAACCACCAGGCTACCCCACCGCCCCCCAATCCAATAGAACTTATCTGGGGTGTCATTAAATCTGATGGGGGTCGCAACAATACCACATTCAAACTTTTCCTACGTTCGAGACATGGTACACAAAGTTATAAGTAAATAACACCAGCACTCTGCTAAACTGTGTACAGAAAGTTCAAAATGAAACAGAGAATTAGTACTGGATAAAAAGTGGTTTAGATTATGCCACCATTCAACCAGTCATCATGAGTGTATAATCTGAGAGAAGTGAAAGTGAATCATTATTTTCCTCAGATTCCAGTCCGGAAGAATTTTGATACAACCCCTAAATGTTGACATCCTAAGCTGCACGTGCTTCCCGGCCTTGAGGCTGTTCCTGCAACAGTACTACTGTTACTTTACCCTCGTAAACCTTCACATGGACAATCGAAACAAAATGATGATAGTTTGTTAAGTAAAATTTTTATTTTGGAGACAAACATTATGAAACTTTTCCCCAGAGTTGGTCTGCTGTTTTCATTACATTCTGCGTTGAAATGAATGTTTGATCATGAACCGATTTGGAGTTAGATTGTGATTCATCGGTATCATTTTGACCCAAATAGACTATAGCCGTTGAGTGAGTTTAGTTTTACGCCGCACTCAGCAATATTCCAGCTGTATGGCGGCGGTCTATAAATAATCGAGTCTGGACCTGACAATCTAGTGATCAACAGCATGAGCATCGATCTGGGCAATTGTGATACGATAACATGTGTCAACTAAGTCAGCGAGCCAGACCACTCGATCCCATTAATATCTATGGTTCTCTTAAGGTAGCCAAATGCCTCGTCATCTAATTAGTGACGCGCATGAATGGATGAACGAGATTCCCACTGGTCTATCTTACGACAAGCATGGGTTACTGAAGATCAATATTCGTTGAGCATCGTAGTACTGAGGCACGCAAAGCCTTCGTCACTACTCGCCCTTTCCGTAACATCCAAGAAGACTAGACCTGACTAGTCAATCGATGAATGTTATGTACGAAAATAGAACCTGGCGTCTTCGGCGTGACGAGACAAACTAATCTGAATGCGTGTGAGGATGTGGAGTAATTTTATCAAAATAATCCCAAAGTAGTTAATACGGTTATAGCAGCATGTGAATGTTTATAAAATCGTGAAAGTTTCGGCTTTTTGATATAGGATCGAGTCACAGAATAAATTTGTTTTGTCGTATTTTTTCTGCTCGTTACTATATATTTCATTTCAAGGGAACATAGCTAGCATAGTCTTTAAACAAAGGCGGAGATTAAAACACAGGGAGAACCTTAAAAACACTCACAAGATCTTGCGGACTTGGTTTTGAGATTTTACGTGCGCTTTCCAACACGATAGGTCTTTTACACACAAGGTCCTACGCTCTATTTGGGTTTAGACGTTTATTTCATTTTTATACGAATGTTGATATAAGTTAAGAAGTGATAAATATTTTAATTAATGTAATTATAACTTTCAGTTAAAGTTTCAAAACGAGTTATTTATATACAACTAATCAGCATTAATTTTAGACACTGTGCTTTCATTTCACTCACTGGGGATATTTTAGTCTGACGTCAATTATAACCTGATACATTTTACAATTGGATCTCCAAGGTTATGGCAGAAAGGTTACATGCATGTTCATACAACTTTATGATTGTAAACAAAATCTATCAGAAGATCAACTCAAACCTGGATCTTCACGGGTTGCTTTTATGATTGTAAACAAAATCTAGCTGAAGATCAATTCTAACCTGGATCTTCACGGGTTTGTTTTCAATTCTATGTTGGCTCTTTTATGATTGTAAACAAAATCTAGCTGAAGATCAATTCTAACCTGGATCTTCACGGGTTGCCTTTTATGATTGTAAACAAAATCTAGCTGAAGATCAATTCTAACCTGGATCTTCACGGGTTTGCCTTTTGTGATTGCAAACAAAATCTAGCTGAAGATCAATTCTAACCTGGATCTTCACGGGTTTGCCTTTTACAAATTGAAGTGAATTTCACTATAATGTAATGTCTGTTCATGAATGATGTGTGGTAATTGATTTCATGGTTTTAGTTCTTCATGCTGTTAGTCCCCGTGGTCTCTAGTATGGTGATCTACATGCAGTTGTTGGCGAGATATAGCCCATCTAATATGTGTTTATTAATATCCAACTTTCACAGTCACGATATGGCTGAAATAATGCCGAAGTGACTTTAAATTGTAACTCACTCACTCACTCACTCACTCATTAGTTCTGTATGTAACGGCTCCTGCGTTAACCTTTGCATCTCAAGTTGGGATTAAACTCGGGGTATATATACTCATGCCAATAATGGTTGTCACCCTCCCATTAATCACCACTCATTCATTTAGTTCTGTAAAAAATTGAAGGGTGGGGTGGGGGTGGGTGAACAACCATTATTGGCATGAGTATAAAAGTGAGTGCGTTAAAGCCACGTCAGTTTTAATCATCAGTTTTAATCTGATGACGTTATTCAATGCTATGACATATGCAAACTGACTACGACGAAGAAAATGAACAATAACAATAAACATCCTACGATTTAACTTCGTCTGAGAACATTTAAAATGTACTGCTATTAGGACAATGGAGGCGGTAGGGTAGCCCAATGGTTGAAGCGTTCGTTCGTCACGCAGAAGACCCGGTTCGATTCCCACATGGGTACAATGTGTGAAGCCCATTTCTGATGTCCCCCGCCGTGATATTGCCGGAATATTGTTAAAAGCGGCGTAAAACCATACTCATTCACTAACTGACGATATTACTTTAAATTTGAACTATATAGCTCACAGGCTACCCCACGCCCCTACATCGGCAATGAAGGTAGTGAGATATCCGAAGCCTAATGGGTTGCTGAATACCAAGTTTAACCTTTTCAAATTGAAACTTTAGAGTTAAATATACATTTTCATGGGATCAATGCATCTACTATACATGGAAGACGGCAGACGTTTAGGGCGACCAAAATAAGGATGTATTTTTCGCGATTCTGCCTCCTCACCTTGGTGTTGTTTCTAAACGCGTTGTCTTTGGACGACAGGGACGAGACCAGCGTCATCAGTTTAGAAAGTTACTTTATTGAAACGGTCACGAGGTGGATATCTGATGTCAATGATATTTTACATGAAGTTACGTCTTTTATATATTTTAGTTTAGTCTGTGGGGATCTGATCCTTCCTGTTCTATCAAATGGTTAACCGGAACCAGACACTGTTTAAGAGAGGAGACCTAATAGAAGGCTGAAGTTTGCTGACAATGTATTCAGTCATTTATTTATTTAAATGTGCCACGGAGTGACAGCTTGATGAGAAAATAGAGCACGAATTAACAGAGAAACAAACCTAGAAAACATAATTAAGGCGAGGCGAGGTTCGAATCTACGATGGTGCCCCAGTCAACTCCTAATTTGCAGCCAAGATCTGCACCTCCCCACATCTCTCTCTCGCTCTGTCTCTCGCTCGACGTAAGAGGCGACCAATGGTATCGAATGGTCAGGCTCGCTGACTTGGCTGACACATGTCATCGTATCCCAATTGCGTAGATCTATGCTCATGATGTTGATCACTGGAATGTCTGGTCCAGGTTCGAATACTGCTGAGTGCGGCATAAAACTTAACCCATTCTCTCACAACTACTGCTGCTGTTGTTGATATTATTTCTACTACTATAACTGCTGCTGTCTAATGTGATCATACCAATGTTCTTGTACTTCGGTAGGCGATGGATGCACTTCATCAAAACCAAAGCAAGACGTGGTTTTCCTGCCCAAAACGCTGAAACCCATCTACTACGACCTTGAAATGAGGCCCAACATGTACCAAGGTGATCCGACGACCTTCACCTTTGACGGCTACGTCAGAATAACAATGGAGTGTCTCGAGACGACCAAAGAGGTCATTATGCATCTGAACGAACTTTGAAATAATGGTGAGGGTCGATAGAGTTTGATCCGAGGGTGGTCAGATCCACCGTCTTCGTGTCCTACGAGACTGACGCCGACAACCAGCTGTTGAAGATCACCCTGGACAAGGACATGACAGTAGGTCAGATGGATTACGTCAAGATGAATTTCACCGGACCTCTGAAGGATGACCTCCAGACTTTTTTTTCTTCTAGCATGAAAAAAATATAAATATATTTCCAGTATCGAGTGTGGGCACAGAAGGAGTCGCTCAATGATCTTGACTACTCCCTCGACGCGTCGGCATGCGCACCATCACCTTCTACGAAGACTACTTCAACATCACGTACCCTTTGCCCAAAGAAGGTAGGCTTTACTCATTGTTTGATTTTGGTTATCGCGGCACTCAGCAATATTCCAGCTATTTGGCTGCAGTCTGTACATAATCGAGTCTGACCAGCCAATCCAGTGATTGATATCATGACTATTGATCTACGTTAGTTTGATTCGATGACATGTGTCAACCACGTCATCAAGCATGACAACAGACCGGTGACGATCCGGGTTAAAATTGGTCTTCAGCAACCCATGCTTGTAAGAGGCGACTAACGGGAGCAGGTGGTCAGGGCTCCCTGAACTGGTTGACACATGTCATCGTATCCCAGTTGGTAGTACATCGATGCTCATGCTGTTGATCACTGGATTGTCTGGTCTTGGCTCAACTGGTTACAGCTGGAAAATTGCTTGAGTGCGGCGTTAAACAACAAACAAACAACACGAATGACTACAACAATGCTAATTAGACAGTAGTCAAACATACCATACGTTATATTTGGGATTTCACTTTCGCAGTAAAGTACAGATTCTAATACTTTTGTTGGCTTGAGGCCCATCCAGGATTCGAACCCACTGTGGAAGCAGTGCTGACTGTGTGCTGGCGATTAGGTACTGAGGTTAACTCTGAGTGTGTGTGTTGGGGTTGGGGTGGGGTGTGGGGGTGGGGCTGGGTAGCCTAAAGTACTGTCGGAAATAGAAAAAACTGTTCTTTCGCATTGATATCTACAATTTATGTAGTTAATATGTGTAAGTGTGTGAAATATCTGTTAAACTAAGTTCGGCCTAACTACAGTCCTTCAGTGGTAGGAGATAGGAAACGTAGAAAAAAGTACTTTTACTGAGGAGAGATTAGTGCAGAAATGAGAAATGCGGGTTTTTCAAAGTCCAAAGCGACTTATTTGGAACAGGCCATGGCTGTTTATTTTAAACGATACCTGACTCAAAAAATAATAACTTTACTACTGAAACTATGAAGGATGTAGCTGCCATGGAGTCTCACTATCACTATAAAAAGAAACAGGTAGGAGGGGTCATCTCAAAAGCAAATCCAGGACGGGCGTCGCAGACGGTGGTTGGGGTCGGGCTGGGGATAGAGATATAAGCTGAGATAAAATAATCCTTTAGGGGAAGCAAACGGCATGTCATCACAATTTACAAATAATATCCAGTCCTGTCGATCTTCGGGTGGTCATGCCACCTATATATTTTGAGACATTTAATACGATGGCTGATTTAAGGTTTCCATGGGTATCATACCCTTTTACGTATCTCAACATAAACTTTATGATCAATAAATGAGACATATTCAACACACATGAAAAAGCATAAAATATCTTTGAGATGACCCCTTGTGCTTGTAGGCAGTATCTGCATTTCATGCCAGGTGAGTCGACGGTCCGTCGTCATACCTGGCTGAGCGACCCAATTCGCCATCAATAGTCGATCTGTTGTTTTGAGCAGCTATTCGTATATTTTCTAAGTTTTGGCCCCATTTTACGAGTAAACATGCTTTTCTGGCAATACTATTACACATCCCACTGAATGCCCAGTTAGGCCGATGTGGTTTTTTCGATATATGCTATTCGTAAACTCTGTGAATTTTAGGCATACAAAGTAACAGCCAAAGACAGTTTTTCTCTATTTCCGACAGTACTTTAGTGGTTAAAGCGTTCGCCTCGTCACGCCGAAGATTCCCACATGGGTACAATGTGTGAAGCCCGTTTCTGGTGTCCCCACCATGATATCCCTGGAATATTGCTAAAAGCGGCGTAAAACCATACTCACTCACTCACTCACTCTGAGGGTGTGGGTTCGAAATTATGGATAAACCTAGTATAATATATTCTTTACTGTGAAAGTGTTATCCCAAAGATAACACGTGTTAAAGAAAACTAACGTGACCACAATATGCCTTTTGTCGCATTTGGCTAGCCGATGGCTTCGAACCCGCATTTTCAAGGTGTGTTGGCTCATTCAAGAACTTACATGTTGAAACAGTCAGTGGTTGAGATGAGTACCAGGGAGGAACTTAACACAAGTCCTTGTGACTGCAGACATGGTGGCTATCCCTGACTTCGCGGCTGGGGCCATGGAGAACTGGGGTCTCATCACATACAGGGCCGTCAGGTTGTTCTTCACCGCGGGGGTCACCAGCAACTCCGCGAAGCAACAGGTCATGGTCGTCATTACACACGAACTGGCTCACCAGGTGAGTAGACACACGAACTGGCTCACCAGGTGAGTAGACACACGAACTGGCTTACCAGGTGGGTAGATACACAAAATGGCTTACCAGGTGAGTAGACACACGAACTGGTTCACCAGGTGAGTAGACACACGAACTGGCTCCCCAGGTGAGTAGATATACTAATTGGCTCACCAGGGTGAGTAGATACACAAACTGGCTCACCAGGTGAGTAGACACACGAACTGGCTCCCCAGGTGAGTAGATATACCAATTGGCTCACCAGGTGAGTAGATACACGAACTGGCTCACCAGGTGAGTAGATACACGAACTGGCTCACCAGGTGTGTAGATACACGAACTGGCTCACCAGGTGAGTAGATACACGAACTGGCTCACCAGGTGAGTAGATACCGGAACTGGCTCACCAGGTGAGTAGATACACGAACTGGCTCACCAAGTGAGTAGATACACTAACTGACTCACCAGGTGAGTAGATACACGAACTGACTCACCAGGTGGGTAGATACACTAACTGACTCACCAGGTGAGTAGACACACGAACTGGCTCACCAGGTGAGTAGATACACAAGCTGACTCACCAGGTGAGTAGATACACTAACTGGCTCACCAGGTGAGTAGATACACAAGCTGACTCACCAGGTGAGTAGATACACTAACTGACTCACCAGGTGAGTAGATACACTAACTGACTCACCAGGTGAGTAGATACACTAACTGACTCACCCAGGTGATTAGATACACTAACTGACTCACCAGGTGGGTAGATACACAAAATGGCTTACCAGGTGAGTAGACACACGAACTGGTTCACCAGGTGAGTAGACACAGAAACTGTGAACGAAAATTGTAATACGTTTACTTTATTTCGCTACAAGTTGCCGCGCAGTAAGATTTCCCAATAGAGTATTGCGCAATTTCTGTTAACATGTCGATCGGAGTGCTCTATGGCATGGTATGGTATTTGGGTTTTAGGGAGACTTGGATCTTATATCGGAGGACTCTATGGCATGGTATGGTATTTGGGTTTTAGGGAGACTTGGATCTTATATCGGAGGACTCTATGGTATGGTATGGTATTTGGGTTTTAGGGAGACTTGGATCTTATATCGGAGGACTCTATGGTATGGTATGGTATTTGGGTTTTAGGGAGACTTGGATCTTTATATCGGAGGGCTCTATGGTATGGTATGGGTAGATACACGAACTGGCTCACCACCAGGTGAGTAGACACACGAACTGGCTCAGCAGGTGAGTAGACACACGAACTGGCTCACCACGTGAGTAGATACACGAACTGGCTCACCAGGTGAGTAGACACACGAACTGGCTTACCAGGTGGGTAGATACACAAAATGGCTTACCAGGTGAGTAGACACACGAACTGGTTCACCAGGTGAGTAGACACAGAAACTGTGAACGAAAATTGTAATACGTTTACTTTATTTCGCTACAAGTTGCCGCGCAGTAAGATTTCCCAATAGAGTATTGCGCAATTTCTGTTAACATGTCGATCGGAGTGCTCTATGGCATGGTATGGTATTTGGGTTTTAGGGAGACTTGGATCTTATATCGGAGGGCTCTATGGCATGGTATGGTATTTGGGTTTTAGGGAGACTTGGATCTTTATATCGGAGGGCTCTATGGTATGGTATGGGTAGATACACGAACTGGCTCACCAGGTGAGTAGACACACGAACTGGCTCACCAGGTGAGTAGACACACGAACTGGCTCACCACGTGAGTAGATACACGAACTGGCTCACCAGGTGAGTAGACACACGAACTGGCTCAACGAGTGAGTAGATACACTAACTGGCTCACCAGGTGAGTGGCACACGAACTGGCTCACCAGGTGAGTAGACACAGAAACTGTGAACGAAAAATTGTAATACGTTTACTTTATTTTGCTACAAGTTGCCGCTCAGTAAGGATTCCCGATAGATTATTGCGTGATTTCTGTTAACATGTCGATCGGAGGGCCTCTATGGTATGGTATGGTATTTGGGATTTAGGGAGACTTGGATCTGTATATCGGAGGACCTCTATGGTGTGGTATGGTATTTGGGTTTTAGGAGACTTGGAACTTTATATCGGAGGGCTCTATGGCGTATGGTATGGTATTTGGGTTTAGGGAGACTTTGAACTCTTATATCGGAGAGCTCCCATGGTATGGTATGGCATTTGGGTTTAGGGAGACTTTGATCTTTATATCGGAGAGCTCTATGGTATGGTATGGTATTTGGGTTTAGGAGACTTGGATCTTTATATCGGAGGGCTCTATGGTATAGTATGGTATTTGGGTTTTAGGGCGACTTGGATCTTTGTATCGGAGGGTCTATGGTTTGGTATGGTATTTGGGTTTTAGAGCGACTTGGAACTTTTATATCGGAGGGGTCTATGGTATGGTATGGTATTTGGGTTTTAGGGCGACTTGGATCTTTATATCGGAGGGCCTCTATGGTATGGTATGGTATTTGGGTTTTAGGAGACTTGGATCTTTATATCGGAGGACTTTATGGTATGGTATGGTATTTGGGTTTTAGGGAGACTTGGATCTTTATATCGGAGGGCCTCTATGGTATGGTATGGTATTTGGGTTTTAGGGAGACTTGGATCTTTATATCTGAGGACTCTATAGTATGGTATGGTATTTGGGTTTTAGGAGACTTGGATCTTTATATCGGAGGGCCTCTATGGCATGGTATGGTATTTGGGTTTTAGGGCGACTTGGATCTTTATATCGGAGGGCTCTATGGCATGGTATGGTATTTGGGCCTTTAGGGCGACTTGGATCTTTTATATCAGACGGCTCTATGGTATGGTATGGTATGGCATTTGGGTTTTAGGGCGACTTGGATCTTTATATCGGAAGACTCTATGGTGTGGTATGGTATTTGGGTTTTAGGGCGACTTGGATCTTTATATCGGAGGGTCTATGGTATGATATGGTATTTGGGTTTAGGGCGACTTGGATCTTTATATCGAAGGACTCTAAAGCATGGTATGGTATTTGGGTTTTAGGGCGACTTGGATCTTTATATCGGAGGGCTCTACGGTATGGTATGGCATCTGGGTTTTAGGAAGACTTGGATCTGTATATCGGAAGGCTCTATGGCATGGTATGGTATTTGGGTTTTAGGGAGACTTGGATCTGTATATCGGAGGACTCTATGGTGTGGTATGGTATTTGGGTTTTTAGGGAGACTTGGAACTTTATATCGGAGGGCTCTATGGTATGGTATGGTATTTGGGTTTAGGGAGACTTTGAACTTTATATCGGAGAGCTCTATGGTATGGTATGGTATTTGGGTTTAGGGAGACTTGGATCTTATATCGGAGAGCTCTATATGGTATGGTATGGTATTTGGGTTTTAGGAGACTTTGATCTTTATATCGGAGGGCCTCATGGTATAGTATGGCATTTGGGTTTTAGGGCGACTTGGATCTTTGTATCGGAGGGGTCTATGGTTTGGTATGGTATTTGGCTTTTAGAGCGACGTGGAACTTTATATCGGAGGGTCTATGGTATGGTATGGTATTTGGGTTTTAGGGCGACTTGGATCTTTATATCGGAGGGTCTATGGTATGGTATTTGGGTTTGAGGTCGACTTGGATCTTTTAGATCGGAGGACTCTATGGTGGGGTATGGCATTTGGGTTTTAGGGCGACTTGGATCTTTATATCGGAGGGCCTCTATGGTATGGTATGGCATTTGGGTTTTAGGGAGACTTGGATCTTTATATCGGAGGACTTTATGGTATGGTATGGCATTTGGGTTTTAGGAGACTTGGATCTTTATATCGGAGGGCTCTATGGTATGGTATGGCATTTGGGTTTTAGGAGACTTGGATCTTTATATCTGAGGACTCTATAGTATGGTATGGTATTTGGGTTTTAGGGAGACTTGGATCTTTATATCGGAGGGCTCTATGGCATGGTATGGTATTTGGGTTTTAGGGCGACTCTGGATCTCTTATATCGGAGGGCCTCTATGGCATGGTATGGCATTTGGGTTTTAGGGCGACTTGGATCTTTATATCAGACGGCTCTCTATGGTATGGTATGGTATGGTATTTGGGTTTTAGGGCGACTTGGATCTTTATATCGGAGGACCTCTATGGTGTGGTATGGCATTTGGGTTTTAGGGCGACTTTGGATCTTTATATCGGAGGGTCCATGGTATGATATGGTATTTGGGTTTTAGGGCGACTTGGATCTTTATATCGAAGGACTCTAAAGCATGGTATGGTATTTGGGTTTTAGGGCGACTTGGATCTTTATATCGGAGGGCCCTATGGTATGGTATGGTATTTGGGTTTTAGGGCGACTTGGATCTTTATATCGGAGGACTCTATGGTGTGGTATGGTATTTGGGTTTTAGGGCGACTTGGATCTTTATATCGGAGGGGTCCATGGTACGATATGGTATTTGGGTTTTAGGGCGACTTGGATCTTTATATCGAAGGACTCTATGGTATGGTATGGTATTTCGGTTTTAGGGCGACTTGGATCTTTATATATCGGAGGGCTCTATGGTATGGTATGGTATCTGGGTTTCAGGAGACTTGGATCTGTATATCGGAGGACTCCTCTATGGCATGGTATGGTATTTGGGTTTTAGGGCGACTTGGATCTTTATATCGGAGGGGCTCTATGGTATGATATGGCATTTGGGTTTTAGGGCGACTTGGATCTTTATATCGAAGGACTCTATGGTATGGTATGGTATTTCGGGTTTTAGGGCGACTTGGATCTTTTATATCGGAGGGCCTCTATGGTATGGTATGGTATCTGGGTTTTAGGGAGACTTGGATCTGTATATCGGAGGACTCTATGGCATGGTATGGTATTTGGGCTTTTAGGGCGACTTGGATCTTTTATATCGGAGGGGTCTATGGTATGATATGGTATTTGGGTTTTATAGGCGACTCTGGATCTTTATATCGGAGGACCTCTATGGTATGGTATGGTACATTCGGTTTTAGGGCGACTCTGGATCT